GGGACATTCTCCAGGGTAGATCATATGTTAGGCCACAAAACAAGTCTTAACAAATTTAAGATAATTGAAATTATACCAAGCATCTTTTCCCACAACAATAGTATGAAACTAGAAATCAGTTGCAAAAAGAAAACTGGAAAACGCACAAATTATGTAGAGACTAAACAACATGCTACCGAACAACCAATGAGTCAATGAAGAAATTGAAAGTGAAAGCAAAAAAATTTCTTGAGACAAAAATGGAAATACAACATTCCAGAATTTGTGGGATACAGAAAAACAGTTCTATGAAGGAAGATTATAGCAATAAATTGTTACCTCAAGAAACAAAAATTTCAAATGACCTAACTTTACACTTCAAGGGACTAGAAAAGAAGAACAAACAAAGCAGAAGGAAGGAAATAACAAAGACTGGAGTTAGAAATAAATAAAATAGAGACTAAAAAGACAATAAAAAAGATCAATGAAACCAAGAGTTGGTTCTTTGAAAAGATAAACAAAATTGATAAACCTTTAGCTAGACTCAACTCATCAAGAGAAAAGGAGAAGGCTCAAATAAGTAACATCAGAAATGAAAGAGGAGACATTGCAATTGGTATTACAGAAATACTAAGGATCATAAGAGACTACTAGAATTGTACACCCAACAAATTGGACAACCCAGAAGAAATAGATGAATTGCTAGAAACATACAACCTTCTAAGACTGAATCATGAAGAAATAGAAAATCTGAACAAACTGGTGATGGGTAAGGAGATTGAATCAGTAAGTAAAATACTCCCTACAAACAAAAATCCAGGACTAGTCAGCTTCACTACCGAATTCTACTAAACATTCAAGTAAGAATTAATATCAATCTTTCTCAAACTCTTCCAAAAAACAGAGAGGTGGGAATACTTCCAAACTCATTTTATGAAGCCAGTATCACCTTGATACCCAAACCAGACAAGGGCACCACAAGAAAAGAAATTTACAGGCCATTATCCCTGATGAACACAGATGCAAAAATCCTTAAGAAAATAGTAGCAAACCGAATTCAACAATACATTCAAAGGATCATATACCATGATCCAGTGAAATTTATTCCAGGGGTGCAAAGGTGGTTCAACATCTGAAAATCAATCAATGTGATACATTACATTAGCAAAATGAAGAATAATAATCATATGATCATCTCAGTGGATGCAGAAAAAGCATGTGACAAAATTCAACATCCATTTATGATAAAAAAGTCTCAACAAAGTGGGTATAGAGGGAATACGTGGCACCATAATAAAGGCCATAAATGACAAGGCCACAGCTCACACACTCAATGATGAAAAACTGAAACCTTTCCTCTTAAGACAAGGATGCCCACTTTACCACTTTTATTCAACATAGTACTGGAAGTTCTAGCCAGAGCAAGTAGACTAGAAAAAGAAATAAAAAGCATCCAATTGGAAAGAAAGAAGTAAAATTGTCGTCATTTGCTGATGACATGACAATATATATTGAAAACTCCAAAGACTCCACCAAAAAACTCTTAGAACTAATAAACAAATTCAGTAAAGTTGCAGGATACAAATTCAATATACAGAAATCTGTTGCATTTCTATACATATCCTAATAATGAACTATCAGAAGGAGAAATTAAGAAAATAACCCCATTTACAATTACTTTGAAAAGAATAAAATGCCTAGGAATAAGTTTAACCAAGGAGGTGAAAGATCTGTACTCTGTAAACTATAAGACATTGAGGAAAGACACTGAAGAAGACACAAATAAATGAAAAGGTATTCTGTGCTCATGGATTGGAAGAATTAATATTATTGAAATGTCCTTACTACCCAACGCAATCTAGAGGTTCAGTGCAAACCCTACCAAAATTCCATTGGCATTTTTCACAGAAATTGAACAAACAATCCTAAAATTTGTATGGAAGCACAAAAGACCCTGAATAGCCAAGGCAATTTTGAGAAAGAAGGACAAAGCTGGAGGTATCATGCTCCCTAATTTCAAATTATGTCAGAAAGCTATAGTAATCAAAACAATGTGGTATTAACATAAAAACAGACACATAGATCAATGAGATAGAATAGAGAGCCTAGAGATAAACCCATGCATATATAGCTGGTTGATTTATGACCAAGAAGCCAAGACTGTACAAAGGGGAAAGATAATCTGTTTAATAAATGATGTTGGAGAAGCTGGACAGCCACAGGCAAAAGAATGAAACCAGACCGGTATCTTACACTGTACACTAAAATTAACTCAAAATGGATTAAAGACTTGAAGTAAGACCTGAAACCATAAAACTCCTAGAAGAAAACATAGGCAATAAGCTCTTTGACATAGGTCTTGGAGATGATCCTTTGGATACCAAAAGTGAAGACAATAAAAGCAACAATAAACAAATGGGACAACAACCAACTAAAAAACTTCTGCACAGCTTTAGTTTTTAGGGAACCATCAACAAAATGAAAAGGCAACCTACTGAATGGATGAAAATATTTGCAAACCATATATCTAATAAGGAGTTAATATCCAATATACATGAAGAACTCATGCAACTTAATAACAAAAAAATCCAATTAAAAAATGCCAAAGGATCTAAATAGACATTTTTCTAAAAAAAAAAACAACTATACAGATGGTCAACAGGAATATGAAAAAATGCTCAGCATCACTAATCATAAGGGAAATGCAAATCAAAACAGTAAGATATTGGGGCACCTGGGTGGCTCAGTCAGTTAAGCATCTGCCTTTGGCTCAGGTAATGATCTCAGGGTCCTGGGATGGAGTCCCACACTGGGCTCCCTGCTCAGTGGAGAACCTGCTTCTACCTCTCCCTCTGCCCCTCCCCCTTCCCCCTGCTCATATAAATAAGTACAATTTAAAAAAAACAACAAAAACAACCAAAACCAAACAAAACAAAACAAACCAACAAGATATTGCCTTGCACCTGTTAGATTGGCTATTATAAAAATGATAATAAATAATAAGTGTTGGCAAGGATGTGAAGAAAATTCTATAGCTATGTGTGGTGATGGATGTCAACTAGACTTATTGGGGTGAACATTTCATAATATATAGAAATATCAAGTCATTATGTTGTATACCTGAGACCAATATAATGTATGTTATACTTCAATAAAAATATTTAAAAAGCCAGGTGATACCAATAAAACACGTAAATGTGTTAAATTAAAAAAAGAATCTGAAACTAATGATGTACTATAAGTTGGCTAATTGAATTTAGATAAATTTTTAAGAAGGCAAAAAGAAGAATTTCAAATAAAAACTACTTAAATATACAATGGCTTGGATGCCTCAGCTCTTGGTACAATTGCAATAGCTTTGAGGGCTTAGGTAGTATCTCAGTGGGCTGAAACAGACTCGTGCTACCCAACTGTAATGTAATGTAAGCCACATATGCAAGCTATATCTATACTTCAAAAATTTCTAGTGGCCAAATTAAAACAGTAAAAAACATGTGAAATTAATTCATGTTACTTAATCCCAACTTATTATCATAACTCCAAAATATTATCATTTCAACATGTAATCAATATAAACATTATTAATATTTTATATATTTTTTGTGCTAAGTCTTCAAGCCACTCCTGCTCCTTCTTCTGCCCCAAAGAATGTAGGGCAAGTCAAATTCCTCATCCATAAGACAATCCCTTTCACATTTTGCAAAAGGTCTTATTTCCTCCCTAAGTCATCTCTTTGACATTCTAAATATTCAAGTTCTAATAATTCTTCTCCTTTTGAGTCTTCACACCTTATTGATCACTGTCCTCTGGACATCCTCCAGTATTAGCAATTGGCCTTCTAAAGTCTGATTCACAAAACTGGTCTTATGAGTATGATGGACGTCACCCTTCCTTATTCTGAATTTATGCCTCTAAGAAGTGCAACAAAATATTAGATAAAACTGATAGCTTACTAGATGGGACAGTAGACTCAATGAAAGGGTTCAAGGTGAAACTCAATTTCTTCAGCCTGAAAATGCATTGAAGACCGAGATGTATTTACTGTGAAGTGATGAAGCTTTAGCTTCAAGGCCTTCTCTTGATTGGTCCACATCAAGGCTCTGGGAGGGCTTTGGCCATACATTTGGATGGTCATATGATTTTTTTGGGTAAATTTTACAAAGCAACATACTGTCTCTTACCACTCTGACTTAACCTTGCTTTCTTCCCCATGTTTGGAATGGCTGTGGACATTTTTGGAATGAGCTAAGGAGGAGCTGAATCAGGGACACATTTAGTTTAAACTGGTACAGTGGGATAAAGATGTAATTTGCAGTCATTTGATGTATAGTTATTACAACTGGACACATTTATGTGTAGGTATTTCAAGCTGACCCAATGTAGGAATGGGTTGCAGAAATCCTCTTCCTTTCTGCTAGGCCTACTTTCCAGCATCAAAACACAATGGCATGGAACACTACATCAAAAACTAATGATGTAATGTATGGTGATTAACATAACATAAAAAAAACCCCACAATGGCAGGATCAGAGGTTGTACATCAGTGTAACTATATCCTATAGATCCTAGTGTATCCTCTAGAAGCTAGTCTGTGAGAAGTTCTTTTAATCATCCATGTGCAATTGTAGTAAATGTACAAATGTAGTAAATAAGAACAAAGTTGTCCTTATTGACATAGTTAAGACAGAAGCTCTCTTGGCAGATATATACATGGTAACATAGCATATAAAATTATCACCATATATATATATATATTTTGGTGGACTTACACAAAATAGTATTCATCAGACTTCTTGTGCTTTTAGGATGTAAACTTATAGCAGTACTACAATAAATAGGTCTTTTATAAGAAAAGAACTTGGGAGATATTTCCCCAAATTTGACAATACTCCTAAAAATTTATGTGACATTAAGTGTAATGAGTTATGAAATCAAAGGAACCCTTTTATACTATAAATAATAAAAAACAAATTTTTGTCAACCAAATCAATAAAAGGTTGAAATATCTTTCTGTTCTTTCTAGAAATACATTACAAAATTAGCGTCATACGAAGAAGTGATTTAAAGAGTAAGTAGCCAAAAAGTGTCAGGTAGTAAGTTAATATAAATATTTGTTATTTTCTGGTTGTTGTGATGTTTTTGGTACTTACCAGCTTTTAAAAGTTCATTGACATTTCTTTTTTCATTCTCATTAAATGGTTGCTTAATGAATAATCATTATTATTTAATGAATGGTGAATACTTAATTTTGTGTTGTCACTTTGCATTCTATAAGAGTCCCCCCTTCTGTCATTTCTACAGGTTTCAGGCCACACAAAATCTGGATCCACCCTTGCTTTCAGCAATCCTGGTAACAAAAATTATTCATCACTCAAAACCAAGATCAAATGTCACTTCCTTTATAAACTATTTTCTGAATCCCTAATCAGGTAAGAGCTACTTTAGAATTGTATAGTGATTTGTTTTAACACCTTAAAGCCATTATTAAAATATGCCTTGTTTTCTTTCTTTCTGACTGTCCTGTATTATTTGTATTATTGTCTGTCTTCACTGTGAGAGAAATGCAAGTCTTAAGCAGAAAAGGTTGATATGGAGGGCATTGGGACCTGGAGATGATGCAACCCATTGGGTTTCCAGGGACATACCCAGGAGCATAGTTTCAGGTAATCAATGATCTAGAGGCTGCTGGTGTCAAAGAGGTCTAGAAGGTACCCCAAGGTTTAGATGAATCACAGGGACACTGAATCTCTTCAGCTGATCATAACCAGCAAGCCAAGCCAATGGTCATTATCAAGACAATTTTTAACACTACTCAAGAAGGTTCCATGGGACATCTGGGTGACTCAGTTAGTTAAAGTTTGCCTTCGGCTCAGGTCATGATCCCAGGATCCTGGGATTGAGTCCTGCATCTGGCTTCCTGCTCAGTGGGGAGTCTGCTTCTCCTTCTGTGTGCAGCTCCCCCTGCTTATGCTCTCTCTGACAAATAAATAAATAAAATCTTAAAAAAAAGGCTTCAGTAGAGAAATTCAAATTTAGAGGCATGTATCAATCTAAAAGACAAAAGTATGGAAGTCCAGATAGCCTTAGAGAAATTGCATAGCAGGCAATAATCTTAGGGCCTTAGTTACTGCACCTAGAAGGACCCTAATTTCTAAACAGAAGATCAAAGAGCTACAGCAGGATCACCAAGTAGGCTAACTTGCTTGTCATCTGGATACTTTGAGTTCTGCATACACTAGAATGGGTATGAGCAGAGCCCATCTGCTTAGGGGTTGAATGGGCAGAGCCCGGAGGAGGGCAGTGTGATTGAGGAATATGCCAGATAATTGTTTGTGATATTCTTTGAAGGCAGGAACTATGAGTTAAACTTGAATCTTCCTAGAAAAATGTTGAGCACTGGGTAAATATTTGTAAAATTAAAAAGGTATTTGTAAAATTAAAAAGGAAAATGATTTTTAGACATCTATCCTGTGTACACTCCAGAATTTGGCATTGTCTTTCTTGAAATGTGGCTCCCAGAAATCAACAACTGGCATCTAACAGTGAAAATTTTTACTTCTCTAGATCTTGCTGTAATTCTTTATAAATGCTGTGTAAGGTTGTATCATTCATTTTATGGCAGATACGGGTATTGTTTGTTTAATGACCATTACCACCTAATATGCTTGGAGTCAAGTAAGGTTTCTTTGCTTTCAGTGAGGTCTAATTTCAAGCCTTTCCCCCTAATCTTGAACATGTAACTGGTTTCTTCAACCAAAATACTGGATTTTATACTTATAAATGTTAAATTTCACCTTGAAGGCTTTTGTTTGAGCATTGCAGAATTTTGAAATTATTATGAATGTCTTTTATTTATTCTATTATATATCCCTTCCAGTTTTTTTGCCATGTAAAAATTTTAAAAATTTTATTTATTTTTAACTATGTATTACTTGAATAAACCTAGATAGATTTTCTATATATGCAAACCATCGTGTGTGTGTATGTGTATGTGTGCATGCATATCTGTATCCTATAAATTTTTTACACAAAGAACTTTAATCAGTGTTAAATGGAGAACTTATTTAACCAAGACAATAAATAAAATATTGAGAAAAAGAGCCAAGGACAAACTTCTCCAAGTTTCTTAGGTCATTTGGATGATGTTATTGTGTGGATTGAATAAAAGGATATTTAAAGAATTTTTGGAACATGAAGGCACTTGATTAATGTTAGCTTCCCCTACAACTGTTATAGATTTTGTTTTGATTTTTAATTTTCAACATCTTTTATTTGGAAATAATTTGAAGTCTATGGAAAAGTTACAACTATAGAAATAGATCATAGAATGCCAATATACTCTTTAGCCAGATTTACCTATTTTACTGTTTTACCTCATTTGCTTTATCACTTATCATCAATCTCTCTTTCCTTCTCTTTCATGCTGTTATCAACTTTAGTAAAATTAACATTGTCACCATTAGTTTACCTAATCTACTGTTCAAATTCCAATTTTGCTAAGTGTCTCAATAATGTCCTTTAATGATTTTTTCCTCTCATTAAAGAATCCGGTCTAGGATCAGGTTTTACATTTAGTTGTTATGTTTCTTTAATTTACTTTAATCTGCAAATTCTTCCACTGGTTTTTATGACATTGGCTTTTTTGAAGAATTCAGCATTTTTTTCCTTTTTTAAAACACGACTTTCCTTATTTTGGGACTGCTTGTTGTTTTCTCATGTTAAAATCACGTTATCTATTCCAGGCTGGACCAGAAGAGATGTTGTAGCCTTCTGAGTGCATCATTCTGGAAGAACACGGTGTCTATCTGCCCCTCATTGGTATAGTAATTTTGATTACTGGGTCAAAGTGCTTTTCATTTTGTCACTGTATAGTCATTATTTTTTCTATTCAACTTCTAGAAATCCGTAAGGAGACATTGTAAGGTGATGCAAATATTATGGTCCTCATCAAAAATTTCCCCTATGTTTAGCATCCATAGATAATTCTTGCCTGAAACAATCTTTACTCTAATGGTGCTAAATGGTGATTTTCTAACTCTTAACTCTGCCTTTCCCATCACATTTACCTTTTGATTCTAGAAATTATACTGCAAGTAAGAGCTGTCTCTTCCAATTAATTTATTAATTAGTTAATTATCAATATGGACTCACGAATTTCTATTTTTGCAATGTCTGTCCTTAATAATTAAGGACAACAATTAATTACTGTCCTTAATTATTTTGATACTTAAATTGTCCCTATTTTGGCCAGTGAGAGCTCCTTCATATCTTTGTGACAAATACCCACTGATTTGTTGTTGCTGCTAGTTGTTTTAACATTTACTTATTTGGGGGACTAATAGGATATCCTAGGTTCATTTTGTTCCCTCCATGCTACAGGCCTGGTCAGCCATTTGTCTGAAAAGAACTGTTTCTATTTGGTACGGAATGGTATTAGACATCAAAATGTTACTGATTTTTGATAGAGATCAATATCACTTTTCTAAATGAATTATTCCTGGAATCTATCTTTTTTTTTTCCTTTGGAAACAAGAATATCTCCCTTATTCAAGTCTGCTACCACTTCTTCTTAATTACTGTCATTCTCTTAGAGATTAACAGGATCCTTTATGACTCTAAGATGTATTTCACTTAGATCCAGTGACTCGGACTCATTTTCTATTGGATACTCATTATTAGCTCTTTTTTGAAGTTCAGTATCTTCATTATAATGTAGTTTTCTGTCTTTCTTGTATTGCATACATTATGCTTAATAATGAGAATAGAAGCAAGGTATGATATGATTTGATTATTTTTTTTGGAGGATCCTTTAAAAATTGAATATAAAATACATACGATAAAGTACCCACATCTTAAGTGTACAGTTCAATGAAATTTTACAAATTAAATACACTGGTGTAAAAACCATTAATAACAAGATATAAAAACTTGCAAGCAATCCAGACGCTGCCCTAATTCACTCTGTCACTCATTATCTTCCTCAAAACAATCATTTCTTTCAATGTTTTGTAGTTTTCATTGTGTAAACCTTGTACTTCTTTTGTTAAATTTATTCCTAAGTATGTTATATTTTTGATGCAATTATAAATGAAATTGTGTTCTTAATATAATTTTAATTGTTCAGTGCTAATGTGTAGAAACACAATAGATTTTTGTATACTGATCTTGTATCCTGAAACCTTGCTGAACTCATATACTAATTCTGCTGTTTTTTTTTTTTTTATGGATTCCTTAGGTTACGCACACACACACACCAACACCCCCCCACACACACACATTCATGTGTCTGTTGAGATGCTTATGTAATTTTGGCCTGTTATTCTATTAATATAGTGTAATACATTGATTGATTTTCATATCAACGAACTTTGCATTCCTGGGATAAAACCACTTAGTCATGGTGTATAATCCTATTTATAGGTTGCTGGATTTAGATTTTAAAGAGGATTTTTATATCTATATTCATGAAAAGATATTCTGTAGTTCTCTTTTCTTGTGATGTCTTTGGTTTGAGTATCAGAGTCATACTGGCCTCCCAAGATGAGTTAGGAAGTGTTCACTCCTTTTCTATATTTTGGAGGTTTGTTAAAGAATGGTATTAATTCTTTACATATTTGGTAGAATTCACCTGCAAGGACTTTTTGTTTTGGGCTTTTCTTTGTGGATTTTTTT